TACCAAGGGCAGGTAAAAGGAATGTTAACTGGCATAGAGGTTCCTGCTGAAATAGAATGGGCCGGCCCGGTGGCGCACTGCTACAGTGCGCCGCTTGAGAGTGCGTTGGCGCTCGTTTCACTCAATATTATTCTCTCAAGGTCCATCCATGTTGTTGCAAATGGCAGAATTTTGTTCGTTTTTATAGCTGAGTAATATTCCATTGTGTATATATACCACATTTTCCGTATCCACTCATCCGATGATGGACATTTGGGCTGATTCCAACTCTTGGCTATTGTAAAGAGTTGCAGCTCAGATTTTAATGGTTGACTTTATAAGTACTTCCAGCTCTCAAGAGATCCAGTGCACCTGGGTTGTGTAGAAACTCTGGTCTGAGCCTGAGTCTTTTCATCAAACTGCACCCCATGCAATTCTGTATTCGTGACCAGTCTCCTCTGAGTGGTCCTGTGCTGATTGGGGGGGCAGATCAGCTGTCCTTGCTGTGCCCCAGTGTTCGCCCTTTGGGCCCATCTCCCCCACCGCCTGTGCTCCAAACACTTCTTGTGGGACAGGCCATGCTCTGGTCCCTTGTGATGACTCACCGTCCTCTGATTGGCTCCTTTTTTCAGTTGTGGCTCCTCCTCTGTGGGTCCACGGGAACCCTATTAGTGGTCTTGCTGGCCTGGGGACCACCAAGGCCCTCTTCTCCCCTGCTGCCTCCAGGCAACTCCATCCAGAATCTGGAAGGGCACAGCTGTGGCTTCTGCCAGCTCCTGCTCTGTATGCTCATAAGCTCCAGCCTGGATGTGACCAGGGTTTGAAATGGTCAGGGTTCAAAATGGTTGGAGCAGTTTTTTCTTTCTCTCACCATGGCTTCTCCCACCTTCATGCACTCTGTAGGTCTGTCCTCCTCTTCCCCTGAGCTCTAGCAGCCGCAGCTTGGCTGTCATTGCTTTTTTATAGTTGTAAATTGTTTGATTTGTGGGAGTGATGCTGGGTATTGTCTATTCCACCCTCTTGACTGGAAGTCAGTCAACACGTAGTTTTAAAGTTGGCAAAGCACTCCCATGTGTCCCCTACCCTGGACCTGGGCGGAGTGGGTGGCTTGTACAATGTGCCCAGCTACCTAGCTCTTGAGCTGGGACTCCTCCTCCCTGGCCCTAAAGCTCTCAGGACGAGGGTATTTGCCTTCCACCACACTGGCCCTTTCCCGTCCTTCCTCACATGGCAATGGGCCATCCTGTCTAGGGACCTTGTGGGTGAAGAGCACGGTGGCCTCAGCCTCATGGCCTTTTTCTTCCCCACAGTGGACTGGTTTCCTGTCTTCCGAGACCTGGTCAACATTGGCCTGAAAGCCTTTGCCTTCTGTGTGGCCACCTCGCTGACCCTGCTGACTGTGGCTGCTGGCTGGCTCTTCTACCGGCCCCTGTGGGCCCTGCTCATCGCCTGCCTGGCCCTGGTGCCCATCATCATTGCTCGGACACGAGTGTCAGCCAAAAAGCTGGAGTGAAACAGTCCCTAGCGCCCACCTGACACATGCATGAGCCTCAAGACCTGGGTCACCCCTGTGCTCTTCAGGGGCAGACTTGCAGCATGTACGTCGGGTTTGCTTCACCAGTGAGCATCCTCCCCACCCCTTTTCTTGCCAGTAAGCAGCTGTGGAGGGCAGAAGCAGCTGGTCAATGGCAACCTAACAAGCATTCTCCTGCTGGTTTCCTTCTGTTCTCTTGAGGCTGAGTGGGTGTTGCCAGGCTCCAGGGTTTCCCTGAACTCAGCTGATCTGTTAGATGAAGAGGCAGAGATGCTCTAGAGGCCTGTTGATGAAGGACTCAGCCTGTTAGCTCAGCCTAAGCTGCTGCTTATCATCGAAGACAAGTGCCAGGGCTCTGCCACGACCACCACCACACCCAGGATCCTAACGGGTGGCCTTTGCCCATCACTGCTAAGCAGCACCAGATTACCAATAGATGGCCTGAGCACGTGCCCCACAGAGCAGGAGCACCAGAAACCAAGTCTGTGGATAGAACTTGATTTGGTACTTAAAAAGAAAAACAAACAAAAAAAAAAAACTGAAGATTTCATAATGAGACAAACTGGACATTCATTGGGCTTTGCACATATTTCCTGGTTTGGCATAATCTTTTCAGTGTGTAGGATGCCCAAAGGCCCTGTTTAAGTTTTTCTTCTTCAGTTCGTTGCTTCACTTCTTCACGTGTACTTTCCTACCCCAAGGGAGTGGTCTGAAATAAAATTTTAAAAAACAAAACAGAAACATCCTGAATGATCCAATATTTCAGACTATTACAGAAAACACCCTTTAATCTGTCAATTGAAATTAATCCAGAGCACAGAAAGGTGTTAACTTGGGGTATGACAGCTGATTAAAAAATAAGTGACCTGTCAGTATTCTGGGTCACTGGGAAACTTTGGAAAGGATGCTTTTGAAACAAGTGTTAGCAAAGGAATTTTCACTCTGGGAGGAGATGGAGACTCTACAGGATGGAGAAAAGCATTTCTTTTCATCCTCTGGCATTGGAAACTACTTATTCACTTGAAGATGGTTCTGAGTTTTTAGTCAACCATTAAGGAAAAAGGCTGGAAGACTTATACTAAGTGGGATCCTTCATAGTGACCCCAGTCAACCAAAACCAAGAATCAAAGGCTGAGGATTGCTGTAGAATGCCGCTGCCTGGCTCAGCTCCTCTCACCACGGGAAGGCTTCTGACGTGGGCATGCCAACCACAGGGGGCTGCTCGTGAGTGGAATTTCTGCGTGAAGGGTCAATAGCTTTGATGCTCCTAAGTAAAATCCGCCCACACTTTATTCACATAGTTTCTACGTTTCCCAACCACTCGCATCCTCTTAAAGTACGTTGCAAGCTTGATGTTTTAAATGGTCCTCTACGTCTTTTATCTTGTTCATATTCAAAAACTGTTTTGCCCTTGCTGGTAGTGCTTGCTTTAGCAACTTGAGTATTTGGTAGCTGAATAAGGTGATCTATAATAATCTCTTGTTGACCTGGGGTATCTTCGCTGTAAATTGAGATTCTTTACATTAAAAACACAGCCAGCCTCAGAGATGACTAGTCTGGGTTTAGGATTGAAATAGTATTCACTACTGCTTATTAAATGAACAATTTCATCAGATCGCTCAACTCTTAAATGTTTTTGGAAAACACAGTATAACTAGACGATGATTAAAAACAAAATCCTTGGGATTTGGTTTGTGTAATTTTTTCTAATATGGGTTTTTAATTACTAACAATTTCAAAAGTGTTCGTAAAAAGCAAGACAATGTTAAGAAAAATTTAAAGGCTTTGGAAAATCACCATGAAATTTGTATTATCTATTTTTTGATAAAAATTTGAAATAAATTTCTAAATATAGTCAGTATAGTTTGGTATTGGAACTTGCCTTTATTCTGTTTCCGGTTTGGGGGTGGATATATTTTCATTTGGGGGAAGTTTTTCTTGCATTCTTGAAATTCCTATCTTAAAGAATTCAACCATAGAATTTATTAAGAAATGTATACATCTTTAGAACTCAGTTCTAAGTTGCTTTTAGTGGTTAAAATAGTTTGTTTTTTTTTTTTGGCACCTTCACCTTGGTGTTGGTTTTAATTTTTTTAGATAGGGCAACTCAATATTCTTAGCCCTTTGAAGCCTTATCTACTTTGTGTTGGCTTATATTAGAGTGAATGACTCATGCTTCACACATCTGCAAAATGTTTTAGGAGAGGGTGATGGGCAGCAGCGTGGGACAGTACAGAGAACATCGTGGGCTCTGAGGTGGCAGGCAGACTTGAGCTCTGAGTCCCGAGTCTGCCACTGGTTGGCTGTGTGATGCTGGGCAAAGATCTCTTTGCCTCACTTTCCTCAGCTGGAAAACAAGGACAATGCCTTTTTCCCTTACAAGGCTGTTGTGAGGACTAAATGAGATAAAGTCCATGAAATGCCTGACACATGTGGCACTTTTTTTCATTCATTTTGCTTCCTGTTCTGGAGCAACAGACTGCCAACTAACTGTCCACGGCGAAGCTTGCAGTTTGTTTCAAGCAGGTGAGTGATAACTTTCCAAAATCAAAACCTACTGTTTTATTTCATTTCAATAATGCCTCCTAGCAGCTGACACCTGCCTGAAGGTATTTTTCCAGAAACATGGCAGTGCCCTTTGTCTCAAAACCCCAGAAAACAAGTTGCTCCCCTTGGAGGCTATAGGAAGTGTGAGGCTGCTGTTTCTATAGCAACCCCAGTCTGCTTCTCAACAAGAGGCTTTCAGCTAGGCGTGCTGCAGATGAGTCATGCCACAAGTGTTCTGTTTGTTTCCCTTGCACAGAACCAACTCAGATGTGTAACGGCTCCTCTCAAAGATCAAGTAGTATCTCCTCCAATAAACACAGAAAGAAAAACAAAGTGTGTAACAAAGAGTTCCCACCCTACAGGAAAACAAAATCTGATCTTACATGTAGTCTCAGCATACACAGAAATCACACTGTCATCCAGGAGTTCTTAGCTGAGATAAATTCTGAAAGAAAATGCAGAGCCAAGTCTTTTTAGATAAATGCTTTATTTTTCTCTCAAAATGTTATAAAAGTTATTTCTCCTGAACATCTACAGTGCATAGATCTTTGTAAATTTATCCAGTAATAACACTGATCCTCTAACATGTTCTTAGTTCTCAATTAGTGTCTTTCCTGATTTTAGCTCTCTGTTGTAGTCTTCTGCCACCACAAATTATTATTTCAAAAAAGACTCCAACAAAACCGTGTCTGAGATGACCTGTATTTGTCATTTGCTCTCTCCCCTACCACAAAGAGGCAGCCTTAGGCAGTATTAGCATTAGTAAGTAGCCTGCAGAGAAAGGGTCCTAAGTCTGCAAGAGAGGCGACAGCACAAGTGTCTGACAGATGAAGACTAACTGGAAGAAAGTACTGGTGCATTTCTACATGCACCATCATCCAAAAATTTCCCAGTGGTTTCTATTAAAAAAACTGACCCCATTCCCAAAGAGGGGAAGAACAGGTCCAGGAGACAGGAATGTGTCTCCCGGGGAAGTGTTCTGCTCTACAGTGGGCTTTGGTAGCAAAAAGGTTTGGAAGCCTACCCTAGGTGAGTGTGACAAGGGCTAGGGACACACCAGACTCACAGCACCTTGGCCCAGCCCACATCTGCAGTGCGCACTGCTCCTGTTTGCCTTCTCAGCAGAGGGGACACCACCAGTGGGCCTGGGCACCCCCAGGGCAGGCGTGGCTCTGCAGAAGCAAAGCAACAACCAGGTGGGTGCTCAGATCATGGCTTCTCAAACGGGAACAGATGGGAAGCTGCTGCTTTCTTTTCCTTTTTGGTCTTCTTGGGGCACTTCAGCTTCTGCTTTTCTTCAGATTCTCGGTTTTGAGGCCAGGAGACAGCCAGGATCCTGGCCACTTCTGCTTGAGAGCTGGTCCCTTCTTCTTCATCAGAAGAGAGTCCACCTGCATCCGCATGGGGAGCTACTGCCTCACTCTGGTGGTGGGGGTGGGAGAGACAGGAGGGGGACAAAGGCCAAGGTCAGTGCTCAGGTACTAGGAAGCACTGTCAGGAGGCAGTAAAGCTCCCAGCTGCCTGATCCAGCTCCCAGCCTGCTCTGAGCTGTGTGACTGGGAGGATGAAGGCACCAGGTGTGGCTGAGGGAGAGCCCAGACCTTTCCGACTGTGTCTTCCTCAACCTGGGAGCTCATGCAAGCAGATGCTTGAGAACTTGCTCTGAGCTCAGTGCTGGGGACACAGGGACACTGGGCAGGAAACTGCCCTCAAGGAGCACACAGTCATGTCTGAGGGTCACTGCAACTGGTGCTTTGCATTTCTTATCTTGTTTCTGGACCAAAGTGCATCATGACCTGGACTGCTCAGATGCAGCTCTCCCAGGAGGCGGGGATGGCCAAGGAGGGTCTGGATGGAGAAGGTCAAAGCCCACAGGCAGCAAGAACCCAGTAAGAACACAAAGCCAGAGGAAAGGGCCACTGAAGGGACTCAAGTGAGGAGCATTACAAATATTTTTTTAAAGGCAAAGAGGCAGCATGGGGATGGCTAAAGAGGGAACAAAACACCCAAGCATGTGTTGGCTGTGTCTGCCACAGTACTGATCACACCACGGAACTGTACCTGGGGCTTGCCTGCCCCACACCAAAGCCCTCAAAGGGCTGCATTTCAGTTTTGCACCTGGCACACGGCAGGTACTATGAGAGGAGCAATGAGTGAGCAACTGAAGCTCTGGGGCTTGCCTGCCCCACACCGAAGCCCTCAAAGGGCTGCATGTCAGTTTTGCACCTGGCACACGGCAGGTACTATGAGAGGAGCAATGAGTGAGCAACTGAAGCTTGCAGGATGGTCACAGGCAACATGAATGCTGGAAGGTAAGAGTGGTGCACAGACAGAACACACAGGGCACTTGGCCCTCCCTGTGTGGTGTTTAGCCCCAAATCAGATCCCCAGCTCACGTGCCCAGAAATAGGAAAGGGGATGTTGAGGCAGGGCTGGGGGGCTGGAAAAGCCAGCTGAGGCCTGACTCCAGAACATCTCCCCCAACAAGGTAAGGACATGTGGCCTTGGAGGCCAAGGACTGGGGCGTCATAACATGACCTGATGTCTGGGCAGAATCGGGACCAGTGATTTCTGAGTTGCAACTCTAGGAAACTGACCCCGGGCTTGTCTTCTTTGCAAAGGACCTACACTGACCTTGGGCCCATAACGAAGCTTCAGCCTCTCCCTGATGAGCAGTCCTTTGACCAGCAGCTTCCAGTTCCCCAGAGCCCGCTTCTCCCTTTTCTGCAGACAAAAATGAAGTGGGAGAAAATGTTCAACACTGACATTTTCAGGAAAAACATCAAGATGAAATCTGTAAACGTATATATGGAGAGATATATATACAGTTTTAGGTTAAAAAATACAGTCTACCATAACAAATCCCATTTTCAAAAAAGTTGGTCTGATTTATAGTTATATACTTGAAAGCCATTTTTTTTTTAATTACTGACTCTGGAATGTTTAGCAGATAAGGTTCAGAAGCTGGATGATAGGCAAATCAAGACAGAGGCAGGTGTCAGCAGCAGGGGCTGCAGTCCCTGGAGCCAGATCTAGGCCCACAATGGACAGTGACAGTGGATTTGGCTGTGCAAGCAGGAGTCTACTTACCCAGTGCTCGCTCCCCTGGGTGCCTTCCGTGAAGTCAGAGAGCTAGAAAGAGCTGTGGAGCATGTACTTTCTCCCCTTCCCTTCTCTCCACAGTGCGAGACAGTGCCAGAGAAGGAAGAGCTGCCCAGTGGTGTGAGCCCCACCCCCACCCCCTCTTGCCCTCAGGCCCTGCCCATGGGCTCACCTCCTTCTCCTTCTTTTCAATGAGTGCCTGCTCATTTTCCCAGGCGGTCAGGAGCACATCTTTGAATTCCTCGCAAATAATGTACCCCTCAGATCTGTGGGGACACAACACAGATGACCTTCTTTGAGCCTGCCACCTGCTCTGGCCTCCACTCCTCCTTTTGTAGAGGACAATGGGCCACTTCTGAGCACTTGGAGCCCTGAAGGACGTCCTGGGTCAGCCAGTGGTAGACAGTACCCACACAGAAGACAGGCCTATGGAAAGCAGCACTGCCTCTTCCTCCCCAGTCCCCCGCCCATGACAACACAGAGCTCTCCAACCAGGCAGCAGCTCAGGAAGGATGCTGACCCTGCTCTGGTCACCAGCATCATTTTAGCATGCTGCTTTCATTGCTTCTGTCATCCCTGGATGGACAACAAAATTGATAAAGTGTTCAGGCTAACTGCAAATCCAGTGGAAAATCCTCAAAATGAGAGCCCTGGGCCTCAGCCCCCAGCAGCCCACCCCAGCTTCCCATCCCCATCTCCACAGCATCCCTGGCCCTTGTTTCAGCCTCCATCACAGGCCCCTCACGGACACAGGATGGGAGTAGCCTCCATGGAAATCAAAGCCGGTGATGGCCGGGACACAGTCGATGTCTAGCTTGCGGGCCACACGGTGTAGATTGGGCAGGTTCAGCTGGACACAGCCAACAGGCATCATGCAGGGCCGGAAGAGGTACACATTCCCAAATTCATTCCGGGGCACCTATGGAGGGTGGGCATGCCAGCATTTGGCAGCTGCAGAACAAAGCAGCCTGGCCCTGACCCCTCTGATGCTGCCTTTACCTTCCCATCCACGGCCACGGGAGGCTGATACTGCTCTGTCTGCCAGTGGCCAAACAGGCCCAGGTCATGATAGTCCTGCAGCTGGGGCTCAGCAAGTCGGGCTTTCCGGGCGCGGTTGGAAAAGCCTTTCACCATCTACACCAGAGAAAACAGCCACGGGTTCCACAAAGGCTTCCAGATGCTGAGCGCTTACTTCACAGCAGGTGCTGCGCTCAGTGCCATACACCTGTTGCCTCCTTCTACCCTCACGACACAACGAGGAGCTGTGTGCTTCCTGTCCCCTTATGACTGCTATACGAGCTCCTGTCTACAGTGCTCACTCTGCCCGGCACTGGGCTCAGTGCTTCATGTATTATTAACTTCATCTTTTCAACAGACCCACGAGGCAGGTCCTAATGTCACCTCTGTTTTACAGATGAGCAGCTCTGAGGAGGGGTTAATGACTTACCTTACGTCAAACAAATCGTAAAGGCCAGAGCCCAGGCTTTTAACCACTGTCCTATGTTCTTTACTTAAATCATAGAGAAACTGAGACTCAAAGATGAAGTCACTTACTTAAGATCCCATGGCTGATCCAGGAAAATAAAAAGATCCCATGGCTGGGAAGTGACAAGAGCCAGGATTTAAACAGAGATAACTGTCTATTTATCTATAGAGCCTGTGTCTCAACTGCTATATGACCTAAGGATGCACCTCATGCACTCTGGAAAGCACTGACAGTTCAGGACCCCCGAGTATGCTCCCCAACAGATGTCTAGTGGCCAAGGCCAAGATTTTCCCTGGGAAGTCAGGGGGTGGAAGGAGTGGAGGACTGGCAAGAAGGAGAAGCTTGTATAACTCTTATGAGGAGTAGCACAGGCATAGAGTTAAGGATCAGCTCGTAGTCCTGGGCACGGGAGCTTCTTCTAGCTCAGGGGTAAGCTTTTGCTATAAAGGGTCACATTCAGTCTCTGGCACATATTCTTTATTCTTCTCTTTTACAACCTTCTAAAAATGTGAAAACCATTCTGAGACCAAGAGCGCTACCAAAACAGGCCCCAGGCTGGGTTTGACCTGTGAGCTGCAGTCTGCTGACCCCTGTTCTCATGTTCAGTTCTGCCACAGTCTCCAGGCACATCCTCTGTCACCAATGCAGTGACAGACCCTTTCTGAGGAAGCCATTCATTCAGCACTGTTCAGTAAATATCCATGGAGCATCTGTTACAGACCATGCCATGACACCAGTCATGAGGATGGACAAAGAAGGGAGTCTTTGCTCTTAAGGAAAGCAGGCTCCTGTGGGTAGAGACAGCTATAACTTAGTGTGAATAGTACGGATTGGGACGGGAGCTCAGAGGTGGGCCCATCACCAGCCCTGATGATAGAGGAGGGTAAGAAAGGCTGCTCAGAACAGGTCATGTCTGAGCTGAGACTTACAGGGTGCACAGAGGGGTTGATCAGGTGAACAGGGCTGGGGAGAAGGGCAGGGGGCCCAGAAGTGTGAGGACACCTGAATCTGGGGACTCTGGAAGTAGTCTTGGTATTGAGAGGAAGCAGGGGCCAGAGCATCACTCCTGTGTAATGCGGAAGACCCAGGACTCTATACTGAAAGCAGTGGGTGTTGGGACAGAGCAAGAGCGGGGTCCCACACGGCTCTGTGTTTCAGGAGGATCCCCATGACTGCAGTGCAGGTAATGGACTCAGGCTGGGAAGGAGGCTGTGGCTTTTCTCCAAGCAAATGATGTCAAGCCAGGAGCTGGATCAGAACAAGGGATGGATTTGAGAGATACAGGATTATTCTAGAACTGCTAATATGTCAGTCACACGTGGCTACTGAACACTTGAAATGGGGCTGGCCTGAACTGAGTTCCTGAAAGTCAAACACACACAAAAAGACTTAAGAATAAACAAATTTAAAATAGTTCTCATTAACATTTTAAAATAATTTTTACATGTTGAAATATTATTTTGGATATATTTGAATACATTTAAGTATGTTGAAATTCCACCGGTTTTTGTTTTTTAATGTGGCTGCTAAAAATTTTCAATGTGTGGCTCACATTATGTTTCCACTGGACAGTACTGCTCTAGAATAGAGAGACTGGTTATCTGCCAGGGAGCATAGAAGAAAGGTGAGGAGGTCGGTGGAACCTCGCAGTCCTTCAGACTCAAGCAGCACTCGCAGTCCTTCAGACTCAAGCAGCACCATGTGCTCAAGCCTGCTGCTGGCAGAGACCTGCTTCCAATACCCCACCCCACCCAGCTCCCCAGAGGGTCCTGCTGGAATCTGACGAAGAGAAATAAACGAGTCTCTGTGGCCAGCCACTGTCCCTGCTGGCTTAGCTGTACTTTGTGTCCTGTGAAAAAGCTTTGTGGTGCTCTATCGGGTCATGTTTCTCATGGGCGACTGACCTAACTAACAGTGCCACAGCACAATGTGAGAGAAAGAACACTGAGCTGAGACAGGGCCTGGGACTCCTGCCCAGGCACTTCCACTTTACTAACTGAAAGGCCTTGGGCAAGTCATCTCCCTTCCTGAGCTCCAGTTTTCTCACCTGTAGAATGGGTATCAACACCAATTCCTACAGTTATTGAGACTCAACAGAGATCGTACACACGCAAAATGCTCAGTGAACTGTTAAACAGAGGCAATTTCATTGGAGAAAGTGTCTTTTACAAAGCAGGGCTTTGGTCTCTTAGAACAACACAACAGAAGTCTGAGTCCTACTTGTTGGCCTAAATTTCTCAGGTGTTTGGAGATCCATTTCTTACAAATTCCTCATTAACAATATAATTTAAAGGCTTGTCTCCTCCTCAAATCCTGCTCAAGCCAGAGAAGCGAGACATTTCTGGATTCTTATCCTGGGCATGCATTTCGCAGCTCCTGTCTCCACTCCTCTGCCCACAGCTCTCCCACCTAGCTTCAGCCTGCGCCCCCCCATCCCCACAGGGCACCTCTGTCCGGCTCTGGTTACCTTGTAGGGCACTTCTCCAAGCCTCACCACTCTTGCTTTTTTCAGCCACGTATCCCTGGAGTGCAGGGTATGCACACAATCCCTACAGGAGCCAACACAGGGAAACAAAGGACAAAGTCAGTCCACGCCCTGTACATGGGACGCAGGACCATGGTGCCTCATATTACCCTGAGAAAAAGGGAGAGTGCAGCCTGGCCCATTCTCTCCTTGGGCTCTGCCTCATGCCCCAGGGACCCAGAGGAGCTTCTAAGGCAAACAGCCTCTAACTCAGACTGCCTGTCTTTCAGGGGGATGTGTCCACTTAGAAATCCTATCCCACATGGAGTTATTCTGTCTTAGGCTTCAAGCCTTGCCTCCGCTGCTCCTCCCTTTCCTAGGATTTCCTCTCCTCTGCTGTCCAGAGCCCAGTGTGAGCTCCCCATGGCAGCCTATAGGGGATGAGGTAAAAGCCACAGCGTGCAGATGTGTTTACTCACCATGGAGTAAGCGCTTGCTGAGGGTCTGATCTGCTGCTAAACACCATGTGGGGAGGGAGAAGTGTCCAGAAAAGGGAACCCAAAAGAAGACTACATGGAAACTAAATATAATAAGCTAATAAACTATCACAGAACTAAGACGCACGCATATCAAAGCGTCAAATGACTCATGGCAGCCTGTGACTATGGGTACAGATCCTCAGTTTCCTCCCTGAGTTAAGAGCTATATCACAGTCTTGCAACCCTACTTTCCACCGAGGCTCAGCCCCTTTCCTTGCCACAGCTTCTTGAACAGTGCACGTTCACCTCTTCTTCAGTTTGCACACTTCCTAACTCTGTGAGGAAGGGGCTCCAGTGAACAAGGACACCAAGTTTCCTTCTAGTGCAGATGGCAGGCACTGCTCGGCCAAGCAGTCCAAGACTGAACTTCAGTGCAGCACAATTTCAGCACAGCACAACGGGCATGGATCAAATCTTGCCTGTGTCACTTGCTAGCTGGTAATCTGGACAAGTCCCTTTCCCTTCCTGGGCCTCAGTATCCTCATCTATCATTTAGGGATGATGAGCTCTGGCCCTTCTACCTCACATGGTTGCTGGGAGGACCAGACACTTTCCAAGTGCTGAAGCGGCGCTCTTCTGCCAATGTACTATGAAATGGGAAAGTACAACGGTGCAGCTGTGATGGAAACAGCGTGGTAGTTCCACAAACAGTTAAACATGGAATTACCGTCTGATCTAGCAATCCCACTTCAGGGTATGCACCCAAAAGAACTTAACGCACCATGTCAAAGAGATACATGTGCCTACGTTCATAGCAGCAGTATTCGTAACAGCCAAAAAGTGGAAGCAACACAAGTATCCATCTACAGATGAATAAACATAACGTGGTCTATGCATACCATTTGTAATTCAGCCTTAAAAAGGAAGAAAGTTCTGGCTCTTGCTACAACATGGATAAAACTTGAGGATGTTATGCTAAGTGAAATAAGCCAGTCACAAAAGGACTATATATACTGTATGACTCCGCTTATATGGGGTACCTAGAATAGTCAAATTCATAAGAGACAAAGTAGAATGCTGGCTGCCAGGGGCTGGGGGAAAGGAATGGGGAGCTGGTGTTTCATGGGGACATAGTTTCAGTTTGGGATGATGAAAAAGTTCTGAGACGGATGGCGGTGATGGTTGCACAATGTGAATGTGCTTAGTGCCACTGCACTGCACACTTAAACATGGTCACAGTGGCAAATTGTTATGTACATTTAAAAATAGAAAGTAAATAAGTAAATGTGCACTTCTGATGCTTTCTTCTATCACGGACGTGGCTCCTCCTCTGGACGACACCAGCACGCTCTTCCCCAGAACTTCCTTTCTCCTGACTACTACATGTGCCCACTCAAGGAAGCCTGTCAGGGAGGCCCAGCCCCTGGCCCCCTCTGACTGTTGCATACTAAAGTCCCAGAATAGCTAAAGCCCCCACCCCTGACTAGGTCCTGGTTCCCCTGACATGTGACAGAAAGCTCCAACACTGGGTAAAGTCCTGAATGGAAGATCTGACTCCTTGACTGTTGCATACTAAAGTCCCAGAATAGCTAAAGCCCCCACCCCTGACCAGGTCCTGGTCCCCCCTGACATGTGACAGAAAGCTCCAACACTGGGTAAAGTCCTGAATGGAAGATCTGACTCCCTGATGGGTTAAGAGGACTCACACCACTTACTCTAAGGTGGGTTTCCTTGTTTCCTTTTTTCTTTCTTTTCCATACCTTCTTCTGTTTTCCCATGTATTAGGAACATCCCCTATTTTTTGGTTTCACATTCCAGTGTTTTTTAAAATCACTTTTATTTACTTTCCATTGCCATTTCTCAAAACTTCTGCTTCTCTTTTTATTGTTTCCTCATCTTAAAATAACACTATTAACATTTCTTCAGCTTTAATTATGCATATATTTTTACATTCTTTTTTTTACTCATATTCTCCTTTTTTCTTCAGTAATTTCTTTTTCTATGATATAAAATATAACATAAAATATACCACTTTAAACATTCTTAAGTGCAGTTTCAGTGGCAGGGAGTACATCTATGCTGCTGTGCGGCCGTCCCCACAGCTTTAATTATGCATATATTTTTACATTCTTTTTTTTACTCATATTCTCCTTTTTTCTTCAGTAATTTCTTTTTCTATGATATAAAATATAACATAAAATATACCACTTTAAACATTCTTAAGTGCAGTTTCAGTGGCAGGAAGTACATCTATGCTGCTGTGCGGCCGTCCCCACCACCCGTTTCCAGAGCTTTCTCATCTTCCCAAACTGAACTCTGTGCCTGTTAAATAGTCACTCACCCTAACTTTTATGATCACATCCTTTATTCCTTTCTTTTGTGTGTTTTTAACTGACCACCCGTTTCCAGAGCTTTCTCATCTTCCCAAACTGAACTCTGTGCCTGTTAAACAGTCACTCACCCTAACTTTTATGATCACATCCTTTATTCCTTTCTTTTGTGTGTTTTTAACTTATATTTTGAATGGTGTGTTTTTTATTGCCCTATCTTAAATTTTATTTTTCTTACTTTTTATTTTCTCCCATAACTTTTCCCTCCTGCTTCTCTCTTAATCCTTGTTGTTTACTTTTCAGGCTTTCATGTCTCTGCACCTCACACACACAGCAGCCTGTGCATACACTGTAGCCCATCTTCTGAGAATGCTGTTACCAAGGAGATGGGCTTACACTACCAGCTCCTTGCCCAAGAAGAAGGTTGTTAATTTCAGACTCTCAGGAAGCCCCTGAAGCCAACCAGGCTGCCTCACGCACCTGGAGTAGACAGCTTCTCCTCGACAATACCCAAGGATCGCAGCTGTCTCAGGATAGATGGCCTCATATTTCAGGAGATGCCGCTTCAGAGCATACAGAGGATGGTTCTTATATAAGCCAATAGCAGTGGGCAAAGGCTGGTCCAGGTGCTTTGCGTGAAACTGCAAAGGCCAGACAGAGAATGTTGAGCATGTTATTTGGAGAGGAAGTGAGGTATGAGGTAGACAATCCTTAGACTAACTTGCTCTGACAACAGATGATGGAGCCCAGGCTTCATGAACACTAATGACTTTGTAACACTGCACCTGTAGCTCTGACTATTAAGTAGGTTTTAGGTCAATCAAAAGGTATGAAAAATCATGTAATTCTGTGGCTTGTGGCAACTTCAGAAAATCACCTAACCAAATTCCAACCCTCAGACACCTTAATCAGCCCTAGCAGATCAGTGCTTGTTCTATTAAAGATTTTCAAGGAAGAAAAACATACAGCTTTCTTCAGTAAGAAGGCCTTATCTCCAAGTGACATCACTATTCTACAGTGTGGGCTTACCTGACTCTGCTCTCACAGGAAACTGAAATGAGCTGTTCACACTCTGCAGCTTTTCTCTTAGTCCAATATAATAAGCAGGTGTTCTCTGTGCACTTCTCTAAGGATTCTGACTTCTCAGCAGACAATTCCACTGCTGTAATTCATATCCTACTCACCAAGCTCTCCCAAGCTTTCCCTTAGTATCTCTTCAGAAACTCCAGTAGATGAGGAAGGACTGGTACTGTGGAGCAGCCGAGAGTAGGAGAGGATTTTCTGCATTCAGCTTCCACTGATTCTTTAATTAGGTTAGTTACAATACCTTAAACGCAGGAATAATTACGCAGGAAATACCTGCGTAATTCCCACTTAACCTATCATTACTCAATAAAATGAATCAAGAACACCCCAGAGTAAACTCTCAATATGGGATGAACTGCACTGCTATGGCAAATGATAAATGACCCCACACTTTGCCTATCCTGAGTAACTGGAAATAAATCTTTGCCAAACCTGGGCATGCTCCTGTGTAGAAATACTGACCTACTCCCGACATCACACCCACCAGACACTAGCAGCTCAGTACTCTTCCTGGTGTCAGTGTTGGTTCTAGGACCAAATGACACAGCTGTGTTATGTTTTAGAAGTTCCTGCTTCCTGATGTGCCTTCTCAATAGACTGAAGGTATTTCCTCATTCCACGTCCCTTTCTTCCCAGGAGACAAGCGTTCTACATGTGTGAGGTGTGTTTGTGTACATGTGCACACAACAGGAAGGGGGGTAAAAGTACATCGATGAGTTACTTCTTCCTTCACATAGTTCCAGTTATATGACTTGCTTACTTTAATGCTCCAAATTTATAACTGGACAATAACTAAAAGTACACAGGCCTCAAAGCCCCATAGACCTGGGTCCAAACACCAAGTCAGTTAATCTCTCGGCTCTGCAACTTTTTACAAATAAAATTAAGGCAATAATACCCCCACTTTATAGTGCTGTGGTAATTAAATGAGGTAACACACTAACAACATCTAACACAGTGCAGGACATATATAAGGTGCTCAAAAATGGCAATAATGTTAATAACCTGACTGGGTCTTCGAGCCCCTGGCAGCCAAGGCCTTACCTCCAAGTCTTCTTTCTTCTCCCTTTCCATAAATGGGCTCTGGTATGGTCTCAAGGTTTCGGCCCACCACTCAGCATCAACCCGGACCTTTCGGGTTGCTGTCATCCAGGCTGGGTCGTACCTCTGTGTGACATCTCGGACCCAGCCATCACTGTCAATGCCCACTACATAGGTCATGGGCTTGGTGGCATACCTGTAACAGGTCAGAGGCTGGCCCACCACGCCGTGCACACAGTCCACACACACCCACTTCTCCTCGGGCTCACAGAACACCTCCAGCCACTGGTCAACACCTGCCGCCGCTTTCCCTCTTCCTGCCTCCTCAATGTCACTGGAAATGTTCTTGCCTCTCTTACTGCTTGAAGAGCTTGAGGATGCTGCTGAAATGCATGGGTGTTTACGGTGATTTCCACGTTGGGTCTTAGAGTCACTCTTGGACCCAGCCTTGGTCCTTTGAGGAGCTGGGGCCATCTTCTGCCTTGAAAGACCAGGTTCAGAACTCTCATCAGAGGAATCATAGGCTTCCCCACTGGAGAGCTCAAAGTTAGAGCCACTGCCGGCCTCATCACTGCCACTCTCCTCTTTATAAGACACCCTGGAGGCCACCCGCCGCTCCCGGCCACGCGGCAGTTTCCGAGTTTCCTCCTCCTGCTCTCCCCACCTGCCCTCTTCTTCCTCACTGGAGGAGGGATCCCTCCGTTTCTTTCTGCCTGAAGCTGCCTTGCTCTTCTTTCCTTTAACACTTGGATTGTCAGTGCCCTTAGAAAAGGTTTCTTCTTGTTTGGGTCCTTTGCTAGTCTTTGGTTTGGTGTGTTTTTCTGGAACTTGGGTAGAAGTTTCTGAAGAGCATCCAGAACCCCCTGTGAATTTCTCCTTGGAAGGTTTCTTTCCCTTAAACAGAGTAAGAAAAAAATTTTTTTTTGCTAGTGATCTAATAGGGATCCTGTAATCTAATAGGATTAAGTCACTGGCTAGAAAACCAGTATGACAAGACATCCCCAGCTCATCAGTGATTTACTAGTTTTCCTGTAGGGTTGTATGAAAGTATTAACTAAAATCAGTAGCACCTAATATAATGCTGCAATATAATTCTTTTCACCCTAATTATAGAGCAGAGCAAAGAGCATGAGATTTGAAAACAGACAAACCTGAGTTTGAATTCCGTTTCTATCTATTTGTTATGTGACTCAGGTAAATTATTTAACCTCCGAGTCTCAGTTTCCTTAGTAATATCGACCTTGCACATATGCATTTTGCAAACCAAATGCTTACATTTACATTTACATTTACAGTAATATAATGACTTAATACATTTGCAGTTTTAATAATACAGAGATTATTAAACTTCTAGACCATCAGGCTTCAGACAATGCAAACACCCCAATGAATACAGCATTTAGCCTCCTTCCTGGAGCATCTCAAAATTCAGTCCTTCACGCATTAACACCCCACATTGCTAATGAGCAAAGGGACCATTCTACCCATTTTGCAGAACAGGAACTAAAGCACCACGGAGCCAAGAGCTCTCTCTGTGTGCACCCAAAGCTCAGGTTGCTAGTTACCCACTCTGTGCAAGGCAGGCTCACAAGAACCCATGCTCCATGAATGCCAGCTCTTGAAAACGTAAGGGTGACCAACTTTTTTTTTTAAGTTTGATAACGTCTCACTCCTTCCTGATCAACTGCTGCTTTTCTCTGGAAGCCCTAAGAAGCTCACCTTTGCTGCTGATGACCTCAGTGGAATTGGCTGTAGAGACAAGACCAGTCGGGTCAAGAGCTGCAAAGCCCGGAGAATCAGTAAAAATATCTATGATGAAAAGGAATAAAATATTTATCCTAAGAAAATAATTAAGGATTTAATTAGTTCAGTGTTGTTGCTGTGGTGCGTGTTTATAAGCAAAAGTTGGAAACAACCAAACTGTCTAATAACAGGAGACTCAAACCCTCAACATTATTAGAAATGATGCTGCAAAGATTATCTTTATAGAAAATGGAAAAATGGGCCTACCCCGTGGCTCACTCGGGAGAGTGCAGCGCTGGGAGCGCAGCGGTGCTTCTGCTGCGGGTTCGGATCCTATATAGGGATGGCTGGTGCGCTCACTGGCTGAGCGCGGTGCGGGCGACACCAAGCCAAGGGTTGCGGTCCCCTTACTGGTCAAAAAGGCAAAAAAAGAAAATGGAAAAATGGGCCTGCCCCGTGGCTCACTCGGGAGAGTGCAGCGCTGGGAGCGCAGCGGTGCTTCCGCCGCGGGTTCGGATCCTATATAGGGATGGCTGGTGCGCTCACTGGCTGAGCGCGGTGCGGGCGACACCAAGCCAAGGGTTGCGATCCCCTTACTGGTCAAAAAGGCAAAAAAAGAAAATGGAAAAATGTTCGATATATTAAAGGAGGAGAGAAGTTTTTCTTAAAAAAAATGTGATTACACTTTTGTAAGAAAAATTACATATAAATATAGACATACATGTATATTTGAAAAAGGACCTATATACTGAGTTATGGGTATTAATAGGATTTTTCTTTTTTATCTGTTTAGCTATCTTCTGACTGTTCTGTATTCAACATGTATTATATTTGTGATTAAAATAAAATAATAAAAGAGTACCACTTTGGGAAGAAAATGTAAAAAATATTACCAGATCACCTAAGTCTGTTCCCCATTCTCCATTTCCTCCACACTGAATCTTTCAACTGAAGGCTGTAGCTCTAAAAATTTTAGTAACTTATGAGGATGGGAGCCTCCTGGGGGAAATTAACCTCCAAAAGCAACAGGGATAATGTCCTTGAGTAAGGTCTTCTTACACAGATCTCCAGGTTCCAACCTTTCTCATTAATAGCTGTAATACCCTTGTGAGAAAGTCAGAGGTAAAATCAGAAATAGGAAGTCAGGTTTTTTTTTTTTTTTTAAAGATGACCGGTAGGGGCATCCTAACCCTTGGCTTGGTGTTGTCAGCACCACGCTCACCCAGTGGGCTAACTGGCCATCCCTATATGGGATCCGAACTCGTGGCCTTGGTGTTATCAGCACCGCACTCTCCCGAGTGAGCCACGGGCCGACCCCAGGAAGTCAGGTTTTCTGTGAGAAACCATGTTATGATGAGAAAAATAATTATTTTTGCCTTGTTTCTTCTGGAGTTAAAAACTTCAAAAAGTGTCAAGGTCATGAAAGACAAGGAAAGACCAAGAAACCGTCACAGATTGGAGGAAACTAAGGAGACGTGACAACTAACTTCAATATAGTATCCTGGATTGAATCCTGGCATAGAAAAAGGATATTAGTGTAAAAACTTGGAAAATCCAAATAATGTTTGTAGTTTAGTTGATAGTGTTGTACCAATCTAATTTCTTAGTTTTTTGGCACATAGCATGGCACAGGAGCACAGGTCTAGAAGTCTGGATGACTGCATATTCACCACTAGCTGAGTGACTTCTCAAACTTTATCTATAATAACCCTGCTTGATCTTCCTCACAGGACTTTAAATATAATTAAATAAGATAATGTATGTGATAGTACTCTGGAAACAGTCTAGTGCTACCCCAGCATACATGGTCACCACCTTTAACAAGTAATCTTTCCCTTACCAGCCAGCTGCCAAAAAGAAAACAAAACAAAACAAAAAACAAGAAATCTATCAATGTATATTGCTAAGGGAAGGGAAAAATCAGGTTACTTATCTGTATGATCCCTACACCAACAAATTAGATAGCCTAGATGAAATAAACAAATTCCTAGAAACATACAAATTACCAAATCTGGCTCAAGAAGAAAGAGAGAAATCTGAACAAATCTGTAACAATAGATTGAATCAGAAATCAAAAACCTCCCTGCCAAACATTTAAAGAAGAATGAACACCAGTCTATCTTAAACTCTTGTAAACAACAGAAAAAGAGGAAACACTTTCTAACTCATTCTATGAAGCCAGCATTACCCTGATATCAAAGCCAGATAAAGACATCACAAAAATAGAAAACCACAGACCAATATCTCATGAATACAAAATATTAGCAAACCAAATTCAAAGCACATTAAAAGGGTTGCCCAATATGACCAAGTAGGACTTATCCCAGGAATGCAAGGGTGGTTCGACATAAGAAAATCAAACAATGTATTGCCCCACGTTCATAAAAGGAAGGAAAGAAAAACCACAGGATCATGTCAATCAACACAGAAAAAGTATTGACAAAATCCAACAGGCTTTTGTGACAAAAACACTCAAAACTAGGAATAAAGGGAACTTACTCAACACATTAAAGAGCATTTATGAAAACCCACAGCTACCATGATACTTAATGGTAAAAGATTGAAAGCCTTTCCACCTAAGATCAGGAACAAGACAAGATGACCGCTTTCACCACTGCTAATCAACACTGTACCTGAAGTCCTTAGCCAGAGCAATTACGCAAGAAAAAGAAATGAAAGGTATACAAACTGGAAAGGAAGAACCAAAGTTATCTCTATTCATTGATGACATGATCCTATATTCAGAAAATCCCAAAGAATACACGAGAAAGCTACTAGATCTAATAAACGAATTCGACAATGTTGCAGGGTATAAAACCAACACAAAATATCAGTTGTTTCTATATCCCTGCAATGAACAATGTAAACAGGAAATTAAGAAATCGATACCGGAAATTGCCACAAGGGTTTCCGGTCAAGATGGCAGAATAGATGGTCCCCAGCATCACTCTATCCCACAAATCAACCAATTTACAACTACTGAAAAGCAACAACAGCCAAGATGGGGCCACTAGAGCTCAGGGGAAGAGGAGGAGAGACCTACGGAGTTCATGAAGGTGGGAGAAGCCACGATGAGAGAAAGAAAAATTGGACTTTGCTAAAATTAAAAACTTTTGTGCATGGAGCAGGAGCTGGCAAAAAGCCACAGCTGTGCCTTTCGGATGAAGTTGCTTAGAGGCAGCAGGGGAGAAGAGGGCCTTGGTGGCCCCCAGGCCAGCAGTACCACCAACAGGGTTCCTGTGGACCCACAAAGGACCAAGGAGCCACAACAACTGAAAAAAAGGAGCCACTCAGAGGATAGTGAGTCATCGCAAGGGACCGGAGCACAGCCCGTCCCATGGGAAGTGTTTGCAGCATGGGTGGTGGGGGAGACGGGCCCACTGGGGGAATACTGGGACACAGCAAGGACAGCTGATCTGCCCCCCAATCAATGCAGAACCACCCAGAGGAGACTGGTCAGGAATATAGAATTGCAAGGGCTGCAGTTTGATGAAGACTCAGGCCCAGACCAGTGTTTCTATACAACCCAGGTGCATCAAATTTCACCAGCTCCAGAAGTGCCTATAAAGTCAAATGTTAAAACCTGAGCTGCACAAAAAGCCTTCCCCAGGGAATCAGCAGTAAAGCAGCAATTTAGCCCAACCACAGAGCTCAAGTACTGGTCCCCACAGGAAATTCCCCCATTTTAGAAGTAAGCAAAGGACAACAAATTAGTTCCAGTGCAGAGTTTAAGTGGTGGGAACAGCAAATAATCCAACACAGAACTGAAAGAAAAAATAAAGTACCCACAACCGGAGAAGAAGTTTTATAACTAGTAAAGGTCTCATTTCACCAAAGAACACTTATAACACCTAGAAGGACTGGAAGTCCCCTGGGCTACCAAGCCAGGAAGTGGGGAGAGCCAGGGACTCAGCCATGCCCCCCAACACCCACAGTCCTGAGGATGGGGGCCTCGGCCACACACCCCTGACAAGTGCAACCAGCCCAGTGACAACCACAGTGAAGCCACAGGAGGTGCCCCAGGCTCTCCTGAGCCAGGGCAGCTTGGGGCTGAGGGCCTTGACCACACCCCCCCAGCACAAGCAACCAGCCCAGCGACAACCACCGAGCTGCTGCTTGAGGTGCCGCAGGCTCTCCTGAGCTGGGGCAGCAGGGGGCTGATGGTCTCGACCATGCCACTTGCCATGCTCAATCAGATTCAGATCAGTGACAACCAACAAGCCTCAGCAAGAAGGGCCCCAGCTTTCTGAGCTGGGCTGGTGGGGGGCAAAGGCTATTGCCACAGTCCCTTGGCATCTGCACCCAGCTTGGCAACAACCAAGCCACCACTGGAAGCCCACCAGTCTCCCCTGTGAGAATGTGGGGGGTGCCACAGGCTTCAATCCCACCCCTCCTCCTTTCTCCTTCTTCCATCCCATTTCCTTCCCCTTTCCCCTCTCCCTCCCAATTCCTCTACAACAATATCATAGAATGTAAAAAAATCCCCTCTCCCTCCCAATTCCTCTACAACAATATCATAGAATGTAAAAATAATAAAATCAAAAAAAAAAGCAATACCTTTATAATAGTATCAAAAAGACTAAAATACCTAAGAAAAAACTTAAAATCAAAAAAAAAAAGCAATACCTTTATAATAGTATCAAAAAGACTAAAATACCTAAGAAAAAACTTGAGGTGAAAAATGTGTACAATAAAAACTACAAAACACAGCTGAAAGAGTAAGACACAAATAAAAGACATCTGTGTTTACTGATTAGAAGACTTAATGTTGTCCAGATGGCAATACTACCCAAAGTGATCTATAGATTCAATGCAATCCCTATCAAAATTCCAACAACTTTTTTTGTAGAAATGGAAAAGCAAACCATCAAATTCATAAGGAATTACAAGGGGCCCCAAATAGCCAAAGCAATACTGCAAATGAAGGTCAAAGTTACACTCACACTTCCTGATTTCAAAATGTACTACAAAGCCACAGTAATCAAAACAGTACGGTACTAGAATAAGGATAGACATGTAGACCAATGGAAAAGAACTAAGAAGCCAGAAATTAACCCATACGTTTATGACCAGTTGATTTTTGACAAGGGGGCCAAGACTATTCAATCTCCATTAAAAAAATAGCCTCTTCAACAAATAGTGAAATACAACAAATACAATGAATACAAATAGTTGAAAGAATAGTCTGATCAACAAATAGTGCTGGAACAACTGGATATCCACATGGAAAAGAATGAAACTGAACACCTGCCTCGCATCATAACAAACATTAACTCACAATGAATGAAAGAAAGACCTAAACATAAGAGCAAAAACCATAAAACTTTTAGAAGAAAACATGTGAGTCTGTCTTCATTACCTTGGATTTAGCAATGGATTCTTAGATATGACACCAAAAGCACAAAAAACAAAAGAAAAATAGGTAACTTGGACTTTGCTAAAATTAAAAACTTTTGTGCATCAAAGGACTTTATCAAGAAAGTTAACAGACAACCTACAGAATGGGAAAAATGTTTGCAAGGCATATATCTGATAGGTGACTAACATCCAGAATATATAAGGAGCTCTTATAATTCAACAACAAAAATCTAATTTGAAAATGGGCAAAGGACTTGAATAGACATTTCTTCAAAGATATACAAATGGCCAACGAGCACACGAAAAGACACTCATCATCTTTAGTCACTGGGGAAATACAAATCAAAACCAAAATGACATACCACTTGCCACCCATTAGAATGGCTTTAACCAAAAAACTGCAAAATAACAAGTGTTGGTGAGAATTTGAAGGAACTGGTACCTTTATACACTACTTGTGGTGATGTAAGATGGTGTAGGAGCTGTAGAAAACGGTTTGGCAATTCTGCAACAAGTGAAACACAGAATATACCATATAAACCAACAATTTCACTCCTAGGTACATACCCAAAAGAACTGAAAACAGGTACTCAAATAAACATATATGTACACACATGGAATTAGCAGCACTCTGCACAATAGCCAAAAGGTGGAAACAACCTCAGTGTCTATCAATGGACGAATGGATCAAAAAAATGCAGTCAACGGAATGTTATTCAGCCATAAGAAAGGATGAAACATTGATATTTGCTGCAATGCAGATGAAACTTAAAAACATCATGCTAAGCAAAAGACACAGACACAAGAGGCAACATGTTGTATGATTTGTTTTCTATGAAATATGTGGAAAAAGTAAATCCACAGCAACCAGAAGCAGACTGGCAGGTGCCACGTGTGGGGGGAGAGGGGGTTAGTAAAGAGATGTTTAATGGGTATACACAGGGTCTCCCTTGAGGGTGATACAAATGTTTTAGGAACAGAGGTGGCAGTAGCACAATACTGCAAATGTACTAAATGGTCACTGAATTATACCCTTTTTAAAAAACTGTATGATCCCATTTCTGCTTTTAAAAAAAAAATCAAAAAACAAATACATATATACACAAATACGTAGGAAAAGAGTCTGGGAGGATAATACTAAAATATTAATATTTTCTCTGGGTGGTGATATTATAATTTAACTATTGGCCATGCCAGATATCCTAGACTTTTTAAAGCCAAATCAGAAGAAGAGAAATGAAGATGGCAGCCATTTGGCCTCTACATAGCAAAAGTCTGGTCACTCTCTCCAAACAAACAGGGACTCTGGGGTTCCCAAATATAAGTGTACGGAATAATAGGAATACTCTAGGGATAAAATCACATTTCCCATCTCTATTTTTGCTTTATTCAGATAGAGCTTACCATTGGGTACCTGCAGGTGTTTGATAAAGCCTGTCCGTCCATAAAAACATTTCGCCACCACGATTCCTTTCTATGGACAGAACCCTACTCACTGCAGCTGCCTGCCAGTGTCATCACCCAAATGTGAGGTATAGAAACGAGCTCTCAAGGATTTCAGCATCCAATCTGAAAAAACATCTCCTTGGGGCTTCTGAACACAATACTTGAATAATTAATGAAAACATCTCTAGTGCATATGACCAAAACCTATGTGCTTCAGTACACCAGGACAGCAAGTAATAGAAAGAGAAGAGTGCAGGACTTTGACTCAGACTCTGATCCCATTCTTGACTCCAATGCTCGCCAAATGAGTGACCTTAGGGACATTATTTAGCTACTCTAAGCTTCAGTACCTATAGAGGTTGTCAAGAGGACTGGAGATAATGAATGTGAAACACCTGGAATAGTGTTTGGCACATGACTGCCATCGTTATTAGTTAGCAGTACTAATAAAATAATGTAGTGCTACCAGAGGAATCACTTACATGGACGAGTTCTCCCTCATCTCGTGCAGAATAAATGGCAAATCTCCTTTCCAATGTGGTCTGGAGGCTGTCTTGCTCATTGACTGAAAGGTCTGCATTAACTGTAAATGTTCCGATGAACCTGGGGAGAAACCAGGCATCCCCTTGTGTCACAGGCCAGGGCAAAGGGGAATTTCCATTCTTTTACAGCCAAGAAAATCAAAAGGCGGAGTGAACTGTGAGCACATGCCTCTGTTCTCTTCTTCCCCGCCTATCTGGCTAACTCCTCTCATCACTGAAGACCCAGCTCATACTTCACCTCCTTGGGGAGCCTTCTCAGGCCCTCCAGCTGAGATAAGCACCCTGCTCAGTGTGCCTGAAGTCCCCAGCACACTTCTTCCAGAGCACTCCTCACACTACCCTGGTGGGTATTTGTTTCCCTGCCAGACTGGGAGCTTTCTAGGGCAGAGATCATACCTGACATTTCTCTATCTTCAATGCCATGCCCACCGCCTGGTACATAATTACCACCTCAGGGTGGTCTGCAGAACTGACCTGAATCTAGCTCCTGAGGGAAACAAATTCTACACTCCAACTCTGCAAGGCGGGCGGAGTGCCTTACCATTTCACCAGGTTTGAGAGGTAGTAAGTGTCCACATCTCGAGGAGGCACTTTGGTGAAGCGAGTTGGGATGATGGAGAGGCCAATAGCCCTACACTCCAACTCTGCAAGGCGGGCGGAGTGCCTTACCATTTCACCAGGTTTGAGAGGTAGTAGGTGTCCACATCTCGAGGAGGCACTTTGGTGAAGCGAGTTGGGATGATGGAGAGGCCAATAGCACACAGATCTGGCTGGCTACAGATGCTATTTTGATAGAAGCCATTTGCTAGCAGGCACAAAAGGTGCACCTGCAAGAAGGGAGAGGTAGGGGCAGGCATGGAAGGAAGGCTGAAAACTAACAGCAATGATTGCTGTCAAATTAAAAGACATTTTGCTGATAGACTATGTTGCTATTTCTATACACAAGAAAGTAAAAACGCTAGCATGAGCCAATTCCCAAAGCTTTGTCTTTCACCCCCTCTTCTCTCCATGTACTCATTCCCTCAAAGAAATCATCAAAACTCAAAGCTGCAAAATACACTTCTTTTTTTAAAAGGTCTTATCTTTTAAAGATACATATGAAGGTTTCTGGATGAAATGCTACAATGTCTGAGATCTGCTCCAACAAGAGGAGAGGGAAAAGCGAGTGGGCTGAAGCACAAGCCTGGGCAGGGGCCAGGGGCTCACGGAGCTCTCTTTCCACCACTCCACGTGTGTGAGCCCAACTTCTCTGCTACAGAGCACTTGTCTGACCACAACCCCCATCAGCTGACAGAAACGACGACGTGCTGCCTTCCCTTCTCTCCCATAGCTTCATGGCATTTTCACTCCAAAATTGGTCTTCCTTCTCCCCTGCAAGAGCCTTCTTATTTCAGTCAATGGTGCTGCCTCTCTCCCCTCACTTAAGCTTCAAACCTTGAAGTCATCTTGATCTTCCCTTTCTTTTTCTCCAACACCCACCCAGAGGTGAAAGGAACACAGCTCTCTCCTTTAGTCCCCCAGGCCTCTGGGAAGTGGACATCCCATCATCTAACCTCGTCCTGTCCTTGCACCTCTAGATTTCTGTGGCACCTGCAGACAGTGTCTCTTCCATCCATCCATGCTCTCCACCCATCACTACCCTCTCTGGAGGCCCGCCGCCCATCAGAGGAAAATCAAAGGCCTCCCTTCCCTCACTCCCCACCACTCTCTAACACATATACCCTCCACACATGCAGACAAGCTGGCCGGCCTACCATCCCTCCACAGTTCAGCTACGGCAGTCTTCCCAGCCCTCGCCCCTTTCTCCTAGACCCAGTGCCAGCCCTTTCTCCCAAATAAAGCCTTCCGCAGCAGTTCAGCCCCACACCGGTCTCTTTCATTGTTCTAAGCACAGTCTTGAATTTCTCTGTTTTGCAGTCTTTCTTGTTCCATCTGTGAGATCACGTGAGATCATGGCTGACAGAAGAGATGGATGGCGAGGACTGGTTGCTTGGCCCTTGCTGCATGCCAGGCACTCTGCTGCAAGTGACCTTACATATAGCATTTACTTGATCCTCACAACCCCCCTGAGGTGAACACTATGATGACCCCACCTCACAAATGAGGAAACAAAGGCTCAGAGAGAGTAAGAAACTTGCCAAGGTGACACAGTGAGCAGCAGAGCCAGAAGTTAAGTCTAGGTCTGACTGAGAACCCAAGTTCTCTCCACTGAAGAGGAATCCCTTCATTTCCCAGCACTCCTCGCCCTTACCTTATGAGTGTCCTCATGGACTTCTTTATTGAAACGCTTCATCAACCTCCGAAGATGTGTCTCAAACTCCATTTTCATCCTCTCGCTGCAACACACAGTGAAAAATCCAAGAATGAAGCAGGAAACTGAAACAGACCTCACCCCCTGTCAATTCCTTCTATTCCTAAGGACATGTGAGTCACTCTCTCTGTTTTCCTACACAGGGCTGCACTGCTCAAGCAGATGTGAAAGCCAGCTATTTTCCACATACTTTTCTGCTCCTTCTCAACTGCAAACCTTGGCTCAGGACATTCTATATATCCAGATTATTGTTCTCTCATCCAGCACCAAATCACGCTCACTGCCTCCAGGATATCTTCTCTGACTGACCTCCCAGCTACTGACTCGCTCTTTAGCAACCACTACCTTTCTGTTAAATTAATGCAGTCATTATATGATGCCGTTCTAATGTAAAATCTTTTTAAAGTCAATTTTCAAGAAAACGTGACACTTCCTGAATGACTTCTATTATTTCCCTCCTCTGTACCTAATAATGTGCCCATCACACGGTGATAGTCATTAACCAAGTAACTACCAGGCACTGTGCTCCACACTCCTAAGTCATTGGAGCCTGCAGAGGTACTGGGTGTCTGGGATGAATGGGGCTCCCCACAATGGTGGGCATCACCTCAAGTCCTGCAGTATGATGTGGTGGGAAAAGCATCAGTGCTGAGTCACATGTCAAGGATTTAGATCTTGGCTCCTCACTGACTGGCCAAGTGACTCCTCAAATGTGACATATCCTCTCTGAGCCTCTAACTCATCTGTAATACTCTCTAAGGATTGGTAAGATAATGAATGACCTGCTCAGTCCTTGGTACAGAGAAGTTCCCTCTCCCCATCTACTGCCCTAACCAAGACACAAAGGCGCCTCTATCAAGTCTCTAAAGGTACATCAAAGGCCCTCTCATCCGAGGTTCCTGACCACTCTGATACTCAGCCATGGTCCACTATGTGTTTCTCAAAAGTTTCCATGAAGTAGCAGCTGTTGCCCACTTACGTGACAGGAACTTAGAAGCCAGGGCCTAATCTTACCTTCTTTCTCTTGTTTTTGCCTGCTCCGGTGTTTCGATTTCTATCTCCACTGGCTTCACAGGCAGAACAGATTGAGAGAAGGCTGCATTTTCTCTGGTCTCACCCAGCACAGGCTCACTAAGTTCTACCAACAATAATGTTTAAGGAGCAATAATCGTAATCGTAATAATAATAACTATTATTATTATAGCTACCATACTGAGCAAAATCGAGGTTATGCTGGGAAGAAGGAAGTGAGGATCAGATGTGAGGTAAACCCCCTGCGGAAACCACCACGCCCATGATGCTCTGAGTCCCTACAACACGCCAGGCGCTGAGCTAAGCGTTTTGCATTCTTTTGTCTAATTTAACCCACACAACAACCCAGAGAAATAGTCTTTAGATGAGTAAACTAAAGTATAGAGATATGAGTTGATTAGACAGAGACTCCTACCATCAAAGAGCTGATGCTCATGCATGTGCTCTAGGAGATTCTTTTTCCAAAAAAAATTTGCCAAAAAAGAACAATCTCCTATTCTCAATATTCTACAATAACACTTATCACAATTTGCTTTGTATAGAGTCATGACTTAGGTGTTTTTCACTCTCAATTGTAAACTTGTAAGTGACAAAGAAAACATCTTTTCCATCTCTTTACTCTACATCGCTTGTAAATGCAAAGTGAAATGAACCAAACTTGCTGAACTGGATCTAACTATGAACTTGACAGAGTTTGGATGTGTTGTCCCCCCAAAACTCATGTGGAAATCTGATCCCTAATGTGGCAGTGTTGGGAGCTGTTTGAGTCATGGGAGCGGATCCCTCATGAATGGATTAATGCTCTCCCTGGGGTAGGAGTAGCGAAAGAGTTCTCACTCTATTAGTTCCCATGAGAGCTGGCTGTTTAAAAGACCCTGGCACCTCCCCCCTCTCTCTTTCTTGCTTCCTCTTGCCATGTGATCTGCTTATACCCACCAGCTACCTGCCACTTCTTGCCATGAAGAGAAGCAGCCTGAGGCCTGTGCCAGATGCAGCTGTCCCAGAATCGTAAGCCAAATAAACCTCTGTTCTTTATAAACTACCCAGTCTCAGGTATTTCTGATATAGTAACACAAAACAGACTAATACAGTGAGTATATGATGCCCTAAGCCCACTACATTTGCAAACTTTTTTTGCCAACAACAATCCTAAAGCCTGAACTGTGCATGGTTCACAGTTAGCATTCAGTGTTTACAGAACATTACCAGTGAAAGCAGTCAGAGAGGTGAGGATACCCGCACAAGGTTAAGTTACTTGCTCACACAGCTATGTAAGTGGTAAAGCTGGGCTCTGAACCCAGGTCTAACTACTGTCAAAGCCTGTGCCCTTTCCAGTAGATGATGCCACCTCTCCTATGAACAGAGGGTCACTGCTCATTGACAGTCACCAGAAGAAGACAATGTACAACCTTCTTTGGTAACCTGCATGAATTTTTCCTTACATCAAAAGCAAGTCCCTAATACAACCTCATCTTTGGTCTTATTAGTTTCAAAAGACAACAGTTTTGCAATAATGATGTGAGTCCTAAAGGAATCAAACAGAAAACAAAATCAAACAATTCTGATGACAAAAAAGTTTCACCTTCGACCTCTTCCCAATCATCTTCACTTTCTTCATCGCTGCCCTTGTCCACAGCAGCCTCCCTGTTTGGACGGTGTGCCTTCTTAAGGTCATTTGGCAAGTCCCTATGTAAAGATCACAGGAAGGAAGATGAGGAAGGCTCAGAAATCCTAGTGTTACATCCAAGCTTAACAGAACTTAAAAGGCCCCTCTTTCTATTTATTCTGAACCTTTTGCAATTATTTAAAGATGATTAGTGAGCTCTGAGCTTCATTTCCTCTATCAGGATGGGTCACAAAATCTCATCAAGACATGCTCTGATCATCAGTCTAATTAATACTAGAGGTGCTGTCAAAATAGAAAGAACACTATTAATGTACAACATAGAGCTGTGTAAAGGAAAGCATACTTCTGCCTGGAAATGGTAAGGGAAAAGTGAGAAGAAACCACAATAATAATGTGAGTTCCAAAAGTACAAGTTGTGATATCTATGTGTACATACGTACAGTGGGAGGCCAGAAAGAGAAGGGAATTCACATTTGCTGATCCTCCAATGAGCAAACTCAAGTTTTTTTCCCATCTCTAAGAAATACGATACAAGGAGACAGAGGATGGTATAATTCTAACTTCAAGATGAGTGGACGGGAGAATGCAGCACTGGTAGCACCGAGGCCGCGGGTTCGGATCCTACATAGGGATGGCCAATGTGCTCACTGGCTGAGCGTGGTGCAGACCACACCATGCCAAGGGTTGAGAGCCCCTTACCAGTAAAAAAAAGATGAGTGGAGATATGACTATACACAGGTATATCATAAATAACAAAAACATGGACAGCTAGCTAGTTAAGGAGATAATTACATAGATAAGTAGCTAGCTAAACAATGGATCGAGGCTAAACTGTTGCTAATGCGTAATATATTTCTGCAAATTCACATATAAAACGTGTCTAAAGTATTGGGTTACTTTTAGCTTATGTAAACTTTGGCACTTGGTATCAAGTGAGAATATTAAATGTTTAGCACAAACATTTAAAATAACCAATCTTCAGTCTTCAGCTCTAATAATATGCACTCTCTTTTTAGCCTACAGTTTTCTCCCAACACAAAAATTTCTCCTAAGAATAAACAGCAGATATGTCTATGTGTTACGAGCTTGACCAGAGTCAACTCTCAGGTGAGAGGGGAAGGGGAAACGCCAAGCTTTCCTTGGCAGCATCCTGGTCTATCTTTGTGTAGACATTTCTGGTGAAAGAATTCAACTAAAGGGAGGCAACTGGAAGGCAGGAAGCCCAGAGGCATTCTCCGGAAAAGTCTAAGGGAAAAGGAGAAGAGATGAACTATGATGGGCAGTCTGCATGCCTTCCCGTGCTCCTTTCCAATACTCACTGCCGTCCTCTCCCAGACTACGCACTCTCCCGAACCAGCACTAGAGGTGGCTGGCAAAGCTGTCACTACAAGTAAGGGGACTGCCCCCTCTGTGCTTCCTCTTCCACCCCATCTGACTTTGTTAGGAGGCAGATAATGAGTGTTCACGAGGCTCACACTCATTGCTCACCACAAATTAACACGGAATTCACTGCAAAAATACTTGTTCGGCTTTTGCCAAATAAAAAGCCCTGCCATAGGGTATACAAACATGAACTGTGCATGGTTCCCACCCTCTAGGAGCTTACAGGGTAGTAAGCCTGGGTGTGTGGCTGGTCACAAATAACTGCAATACCAGGAGGACATGTTACAGTCTTCAGAAACACTGCAGGAAATCAGAGGAGGAAAAGGGGAAGAATCTGTGAAGACTCTGTAGAGTAGATGGCTTCTGATCTGCACCTTCAAGGTGGAAGAAAACTTTCTAGGTAGAAGGAAGAATATGAGCACATCTCAGGTATAACAAAATGCAAGAATGTGTTGAGTGAATAACAACAAGTCCAACTGGGCAGAAGTAGAGTGCACTGAGGAGAGCAGCACAGGACAAAGCTGCAAGGGCGGGTAATGGTTTGTGTGTATCTAATCCCTCTGTGGAGTAGAAAGGGCACTGGACCAGAAGTCAGAAGACCTGGGTCGCCTCCTGGTTTTCCCACCATCTAGCTGTAACCATGAATAAATCACTTTGTATAACCTGTCACTGTCTTCACATGACAAGTTTCCAGCTCTTACTGATTTGAGCTTTATCTAGGAGAGTTTACAGATCCAGTCTTTTCCACAGATCCCCGTGACAGGCAAAAAGAGCAGGTTTTATTATTCCCACTTCTCTGACAGTCCAAAACTCTTCAGCTATCTTACCTGAAATCTTTCCTGTCACTGAGGGCTTCATCCTTTATGCACATGAGGTTTTCAGACTTAACAGTCACCTTGGCCACTTTCATTTTTGCTGGACCATCTGCTGGTCTTCCAGGATCACTGCGGCCTCTCTTCCTCTTTCTTTGTGAGACTTTTGAGAGACGGCTCTTCTTTGGGGGTTTCTCTTCTTCTAAGACATCTAGATAACCACATGGAACAAGAGGTGAGAGATGACAGGAAAGGTGAAGGCAGTATGGCTTATGGGCAGGGTCATGAAAAGGCT